ATTGAGTCCTGGTACACAGAGGCTTCCTCTTGAGACAGGTGAGAACAGTCTCTTGAAACCACAGACCCGGCTCTGGAGCAATGATGTCTTGAAGAGGCCATAGCCTGGCCGACGGCCTGAGATATCATGGATTGTAAGTGTTCTGATGACAATGCTCCACAATTGTCTGAGAGAGACGGACCTGTTGCTGTCCCCGGGCCTTCAGGCTCTTCACATAGAGGAGATCTGATTGCCTGTTCTGTGTCAGCCTGTTTCCAGAGGTTCCTGTCTAGGCTTCATTGGGCCAAATATTTCTTTCTCCTTGTAAGAGGGTGGGACTAGACCGTCTTCTGCTGTGTTTTGCCTCTTTTCGGCTCTAGAAAACTGTTTTTCCAGAGCCTGGTGTCGACGTTTGGCCTCCTTGTCCGCTGCCATGGAAGGCCTTTTGCCAGATATTGCTTTGGCCTTGGTCCTGCCCGCCGCCTCCTGGTTGGATGATCTTGGCCTCTTACGACCAGGGGGGCTAATGGAGGCTTCCTGTGTTGTCTGGGCAGCGGTTGTGTCTGCCATTGGTTAAAAAAGAGAGAGAGAGAGAGAGATATCTCAGCGCAAGATTGAGAGAAATCTCTATTAAGAGGCCTGGTGAGGGTCCAGTCCAGGGGACAATCTGTTGCCAATGTAACAGGTTCCAATGACTGACTCTCCCTTTCTTCTTCATATATACATACATACATATCACCAACATTCTCTGCACCAGCAAGCCACCCAAAAACAACTTACCCAAAGAGGAACAGACAGCACTACGTAACCTGAAAGAAGACACCAGCATAATAATCCTACCAGCAGACAAGGGCAACGCCACGGTGGTCATGAACACATCTGACTACCAAACCAAATTAACCAACCTACTCCAAGATTCCACATACAAACCCCTAAATACAGATCCCACCACCTACCTGGAAAAAACCACCAGATCCAAAATAAAAGCCTCCCCCATTAGCGAAGAGATCCAGCAAAGAATCATTCCCAGAGAGAAATCATCCAGATGCCCCAAACTCTATGGTCTCCCCAAGATACACAAAGAAGGAACCCCACTCAGACCTATAGTCAGCTCCATAGGCTCACCTCTACAAAACCTAGCCAAATTTCTCGCCAAACAGCTACAGCCCTATGCAGAATCCATCACCTCACACGTAAAAAACTCATTCCAGTTTATAGAGATCATAAAGAAACAAAACTTACAGCCCAGCGACCTACTGGTGAGCTTCGATGTCCTATCCCTCTTCACCCAAGTGCCTATCAAAGAAGCCTTGACAGCTATTCAAAACAAATATAACCCCCCAAACACATCTTAGATCTGACCAACCACTGCCTATCCAACACATACTTCATCTATAATGGACAAAAATACAAACAAACAGAAGGAGCACCCATGGGATCACCCCTCTCACCTGTCATTGCCAACCTCTACATGGAACACTTTGAAACACAAGCTCTAGAAAAATCGGATCACAAACCCAAACTCTGGCTCAGATATGTAGACGACACCTTCATAATCTGGCCACATGGGAAAGAAAAACTGGACAACTTCCTCACACACCTCAACAGCCTACACCACAAAATACAGTTCACCATGGAAACAGAAGCTAACAACCAACTTCCCTTCTGGATGTCTTAGTCTACAAGAAATCCAATGGCTCCCTAGGACACACCATCTACCAGAAGAAAACACACACAAACCGCTATCTGCACGCTCTCTCACACCACCACCCAGCACAGATCAACTCTGTAGCCAAGACACTCATCTCCAGAACAAAACGCTTAGCTGACGAACAACACCTAAAACCCGAACTACACACCCTCACCAATGTACTAACATCCAATGGATTCCATAGAAATAAGATTACAAACCTAATCCAAAAAGAAACCCCCACCAAAATCCAAGACAAAGAACAAGAAAACGGCAAAGCCCTCCTCCCATACATAAAAGGCACCACAGACAGAATCAGTAAGATCCTCCATAAACACAACATCAAAACAGCATTCTGTACAAACAGAAAAATATCCACCATCCTTAGAAACCCCAAAGATAAAATTGACTTAGAAAATCAAGGAGTATATGAAATCCCATGCACTGCTTGTCCCAACACATACATCGGACAAACCAACAGAAGAATAAGTGCACGCATTGAAGAACATAAGAACTCAGTCAAAAAAGAGGAACCAACATCTTCCCTGGTCCAACACCTTAAAGCCACAGGACATGAAATTGACTTTAAAAATACAAGAACCATTGCCAAAAGTGAACATTTTAATAACAGAATAATCAGAGAAGCCATCGAGATAGAAAAACGCCCACACAGCATGAACAAGCGAGATGATACCTCCCGCCTACCAGCCATTTGGAAACCCGCCCTTATTGACAAACGACTCCCTAACACAAAAAATGATACCAGACCCACACTCACAAAAACCACACAGGATGTCACCACCACACATCCACGCAAAAAACAAACCCAAAGCCACACCGATGATGAGGCACGACCACAAACCAGAAGCCAGACCACAGCTGCATCATTAGCCACTTTAAACCCCTCCAATCCATACATGAAGCAAACTGACACCCTCCATGAAGATGAGGCACGACCACGAACGTGAAGCCAAAAAATAGCAAGGCAGCCCAAAATCTTAAACCCCCCTGCAACTCAGACTAACCTGAGCACAACCAAACAGAACACTCCCCCAGCCAATCAGAGCACAGCCAACCCCCCAGCCAATCAGAGCATAGCCAACCCCCCAGCCAATCACAGCACAGCCACGCCCCTAACCAATCAAAACACACCTCCACCCAATCAGAACACAGCCAAGCTCCCACCCAATCAGCTCATACCACCACTGGCAGTTAAAAGGAAGAAACAGCTAAGACCACACATTGCTCCTCGAAGCACGAAGCTGAAAGCACCAGCCTGAAGATGACGAATGGGACTTCGTCGAAACGTCGCCAAGACACTTCCAATTTTACGTGGGAGAAAACCAGAACAACCAAAGACCTACATATATACATACATACATATTAGCATAGCTAGGAAGAGCGAAGGCACAACTTGCCTCCAATTGCCTTGAGCAAGGAGCCCAATTTGAATACTCCCTTGCCTCCCCCACTCCAAAGAACACGTGGAACCAAGGTGGCTCGCTCTCTCTCTCTCTCTCTCTCTCTCTCTCTCTCTCTCTCTCTCTCTCTCTCTCTCTCTCCGCAGCTCAGTTGAGTTCCTCCACCTACTGGCTGGGCTCCGGTAATTAAAAAAACCTTCGGAGATTTTAGGCTGCCCACCGATCGGCAGAGCTTCAGGGAGGCCGCGGGAGTCCTTTATCTCTCCGTGGATCAGCTGGGCTTCGGAGGAAGCCGTGGTAATGCGGTAAGTCTCCGCAGATCAGCTGGTTTCGGGGGAGGGGGCCATGGGAAGCCTTTTAGCTTCCCATAGCTCGATAGACTTCGGAAAAAAAACGTGAGAGTCCTAATTCAGAACAGATCAGCTGGCCTTCGGGGGAATCCTCATGGAGTTTTATTCCAGCGTTTGATAATAGGCTGAATTTTGGGAAGCTCGGCTGTTGTTCCGGGGTAGCAAAAAGGACCGGTGAGCTCCCTGTGGAGGGGAGGGGGGAAGGATTGAGGAAGAGTGGAGAGGAAGCCTCCCTTCACCCTAGAGCTCATGCGGTGCTAAAATGGCGTCCGGCTCCTTGTTCTCCCCCCCCGACGATCGGCTGGGCTAAAACAAGCCTGGCAGCTGCACTGCAATCAACAGGGATGGGAAAAACGAACAGCTGTTTGTTTTCCACTCCCCTCTCCCTCTTTCTGTAAGGAAAAAGTGAAAATACGACCTGATCTAGCGATCTGATCCTGGAGCCAAGATGAATCTGTCTGTTCGGGCTAAAGACTAAGTCGAGACTGGGAAAGGGAGGACCCAGGAGGAGAGGCGTGGCAAAATTGGCTGACTTAGTCTACGCACAGAAGACAAGCAGAACCCATTGGTGGATTCTCCACTCGTCATGCTGGAGAAAAGATAGGGAAAGGAGACCCCTTGGGAGCATTTGTGGACTCTAGGACAGATGTCAGTAAAGAGTAAAAATAGCCGCCAGTTTGGTCTAGTTTAGTACTTAAGGTGCCAGGCTAGAAAGTTGGGAGTTCTAGCCCTGCCTTAGCCGTGAAAGTCAGCTAGGTGACTTTGGGCCAATCACCAGGGGCTGGTGAGTCTAGTCCCGCTTTACGCACAAAAGCCAGTTGGGTGACTTTGGGCCAATCACCAGGGGCTGGTGAGTTCTAGTCCTGCCTTAGCCATGAAGGGCAGCTGGGTGACTTTGGGCCAATCACCAGGAGACGGAGAGTTCTAGTCCCGCCTTAACCATGAAAGCCAGCTGGGTGATTTTGGGCCAATCACCAGGAGACGGAGAGTTCTAGTCCCGCCTTAACCATGAAAGCCAGCTGGGTGACTTTGGGTCAATCACCAGGAGACAGTGAGCTCTAGTCCGTTAACCATGAAAGCCAGGTGGGTGACCTTGGACCAATCCCTCTCTCTCAGTCCAACCTGCCTCACAGGCTTGTTGCTGTGGAGAAAATACGAGGAAGACGTGTTGGACATGTTCGCCGCCTCGGGTTGTTTGTCAGGCAGGATACAAACCACTCAATAAAATAAAAATACTCAAAAAGCAGGGAACTCAGGAAAACCTTCCGCACCCACCGGTAGAAAGGTAGCTTTTTGGTTAAGGCAGAAGTTCCTCTCTCTTAGTAGATTACAATACTCAGGGCTGCAACCACTCACTTCACTTCCCCATTTCAACCGCCAAGGCCCAGTGGGAAGGATCCCTTCCCCATCTGCCTCTGCTCACCTTGCTGTGTGCTTCAGGAAGGGTGTGTTATGATCTCTTGGTATCGGAAAAAGCTAGAGGAGTACCAAGTTCAACCCAGATTGGCGGGGGTAACTTCCCAGCCCAAAGGAAGGGGGAAACCCCTACAAGTTACTTACTTTCTATTTTGGGGCACTGTGAGCTAACAACTTTCAAGGGCTCCTTCTTCGGCCTCATGGGGCACCAGGAACCGTCCTCCTGGAACTTGATCTCGTCGACGTCCGAACATTCGTTCAAAATTTCCATGAAGAGCCTAGAAGACAACATTAAACGTTAACAGGGGACAAACAGACCCAGCACACTTTCCCCTTGTGGGGGAAATACCCACAAGAACAATCAGGCGAGGTGCTTCGGCAGAGAGAGCGTGAGTCGTCCAAAGTCACCCAGCTGGCTTTCATGGCTAAGGTATGACTTGAACTCACAGTCTCCCACTTTCAAGCCTGGTGCCTTAACCATGAGACCAAACTGGCTCAATGTTTTGTTTAGATCTGTACTTGATTTGGATACCATTAACTGGAAAAATATAAATGTACATACAGTGATCGTTTTTTGGCACATGCATTTCAGTGACCCAGAAATTATTATTCTGTCATAGTCACATAGGTAACTGTTAGGTTAGATCCCGTGACCTGTTCATTGAGAAGCTGATGCCTTTTATTCCTCTATAGCAGTGATGGTGAGCCTTTTAGAGGCTGAGTGCCCAAACTGCAACCCAAAACCCACTTAGGCATCGTCGGGTGCCGGGTAGGTGTGGCCCATTGGGTGGGCGTGGCTGTGGTGGTAACGGCAAACTGGGTGGGACTAAAAAGTTCAATCAATCAATTCCAACTTTGCAAGATCTTTTTTTTCCCTGTGAGAAGTTGAAATTGACTGATTGAGTGAACCTTTTTTTTTTTTTTTTGTACACAGCGATGGAGGCCTAAAGCGAAAAGGTTTTGTAAAACCCAGCTGAAGGCCTAGGACTGGGGTGACGGCACGCGTGCCCACAGAGAGGGCTCTGAGTCCCGCCTCTGGCACCCGTGCCATAGGTTTGCCACCACTGCTCTATAGATATGAATTTGTTTACAATTACTTATACTTAGCCACTAAACCAGGAGTAGGCAACCTTGGCTCTTTTATGACTGGTGGACTTCAACTCCCAGAATTCCTGAGCCAGCATGGCTCAGCTTGGAAACCTCTCCCTTTGCCCTCAGCTTGGCTGGCTCAGGAATTCTGGGAGTTGAAGTCCACGAGTCATGAGGGGGCCATAGTTCCCTCATGCTGCCTCGGGAATTCTGGGAGTTGAAGTCCACAAGTCTTAAAGTTGCCAAGTTTGAAGACCCCTGATCTAGGCGCAGGGGTGGGGAACCTTGGCTCTTTTATGACTCGTGCATATTTTCTTTTCTTTTCTATTCTATTCTATTCCATTCCATATTTTCTATCCTATCCTATCCCATTTTATTTCATTCCATTTTGTATTCTGTCCTGTTCCATATATTCTATTCTATTCTATTCTATTCTATTCTTATTCTATTCCATATTTTCTATCGTATCCTATCCTATTTTATTCCATTCCATTTTCTATTCTGTTCCATGTTTTCTATTCTATTCCATATTTTCTACCCTACCCTACCCTATCCCATTCCATTTTGTATTCTATTCCATATTCCATCCCATATTCCATCAATTATTACAAGCACAGCCATGTAAAACATCTCCCCCCACCCCACCCCACCCCCCGCAGGCTTGGGAGGAGGCCTTATCTGGCTTCTTACCCGTCCAGGATGAGGTTCTCATACGTCGCTTTCTTATCACAGACCGGACAGATCCAGGTCGGTTTCTTCTCGTTCATTTGCAGGTAGAGAGCGGCGTCAAAGCACTGCAGGTGAGTGCAAGTCCCAGCCCGGCAGGGGATGGTCAGCCTCATTTTCCCCAGCTGGAGACCCAGCAGAGGAGAGAGAGAGAGAGAGAGAGAGAGAGAGAGAGAGAGAGAGAGAGAGAGAGAGAGAGAGAGAGAGAGAGAGAGAGAGAGAGAGAGAGAGAGAAGAAATTCCATTCTCAGGAAAGAAAACGTCCGGTTTTTACTGGACAAGCACTAGCACCGTCCCTTTTGCTGTGTTGTGCCCCGTTCTCGCGCCGCACGGCACCCCGTTTGCATAGTGGCGGTGGCACTAGTGCGAGTGGGGATGAGTGCGTGCACTGGTCAGCCTGTTCTGCCACCCGGTGGCCAGTAGGCCCCGGACCGGTAGTGGACCCTGGACCGCAGGTTGGGGACTCCTGTTATAGGGAGCTTTGAAATCCAAGCAGAAAGTATACCTTCCACATAATGTTGCACGTAAAACTGCAGCCAGAGCAATCCAGACCTTTGAGTAATGTGGCTTTTCCCCCACCATCCCAGAAGCTTAATTCAATAAAAGAAAAATCAGAGGGCTTCTCCTAGCTCTACTTACAGGACACATCAGCGATACCCGCAGGCTGGTGGTAGCAATTTCACTATCTGGATCAGCAGTGAGTTTTTCTTTAACTGGGAGGGGGAAAAAAAGACAGAAGCATTAAAAATGCAGAGGGACTGTAAAAACAATCGCTCATAAAATACGACTGCTAATACAATTGCTAATAAAAGGAATGCTCTGCCTGCTTATCCTTTGAAAATCCAACGCAATATTAATATTATTTAATATTAAACTCTAAAAATAAAACCAATGAAGCTCTGTGGCGCAACTCTTGACAATTCTGTGATCAGAATTCAGACGCTCGGCAACTGACTCGTGTTTACGACGGTTGCAGCATCCCGGGGTCACACGATCTCCTTTTGCGACCTTCTGACAAGCAAAGTCAATGGGGGGAAGCCAGATTCACTTAACAACCATGTTGCTAACTTAAGAACCGCAGTGATCCACTTAACAACTATGGCCAGAAAGATCATCCAATGGGGCAAAATTCGCTTAACGTCTCAGAAATTTGGGACTCTCGGTTGCGGTCGCAATTGAAGGATTACTTTTGATGTGCTGCCTCCAGTGTAAAATTAAGGCATCTGGAGGAGAAATGGGTTAGCAATGGAAATTTTGATTGTAAGCTGAAATCTACCTGTATAAGGTGAACGTCTTTGCATTTTAAAGGCAGTCTGGAAACTTTTTAGTGGTGGTGGCTGTTACGGCAGGACTGGAGGGCAGTTTTACATTTCGTCGGCTTTCGGCTTTCTCTTAAACAAAAGCCATCATTTTATTCCACCAATAATCTTGTAAGACAATAATGGAAATTATTCACAATCATGTGGAACTCCCAAGAATGCTTTCATAAGGAACTACCCAACCGCTTTCCTCTGAGTACGTTTGCTGGAGAAAACTGGAGCCCAATAGCACATTCCCGAAATCCAGTAAATAAAAATGCGGGAACAGCTTTACTCACTCAGCGCCCGAGAATGATCAGGGTTTCTGATGCCCTTCAATTTTAGTCTCTGTAGCAACATGGCGGAAGTCAGCTGGCGCACTAGATACACGGACATTGAGTAATTCTACAGGGAAGAAAATCATAAAGGAATGAATGAGGTCTAGTAGGTGTTGAAGAATTAACATGCTCAAGGGTGTAAGGGTGCAGGTCTATATATTTGTTGTACAGTAGTGGCCAAAATTGTGGAAACCTTTTGGGAAAAGTGTACAGTAGAAATGTCACCTTTGGTTAAGTTTCCACCCATTTTTCTTCTAAGTTCTTTATATCTGTAGCCTTGTTCACTTAATAATGCTATTTTACATCGCTTTCTGGGCAACCAGTCAACTCTTTGCACCATGGCTTTAATTTTATTATGTTTTACAAGCTCACTAAATGGAAGAACACAAAAATAGAAACCCAACCAACTCGATAGCCATCACATAACACACTGACAAATGTCCTCCTCTCAGCTTCAATACATGGCATCAGTCACTGGATCCTACTGTGATCTGATTGGCTCATGGCCACAACAAGATGATACCCGATTGGCTCTCTAAACACTTCATGCTCATTCGCTGCAATTAAATGAAGGAAAGCTACCTGATGTCAACCTAAGCAAGGTGTGCTTCCTTTTTCTGGTTATTTGGCTATAACTTTTCATAGAATACAGTACAGATAATTGAACAAACTTTGTTGCATTACATTCTTGATTAAATCATCTTTCCATTGATACATAATTTTATGGTGCTACTCCCCCCCGAAAAAAGTGGTGTTATTAGCCACCCAACCTCAAAAATACACTTTTCCAAAAAGGTTTCCACAATTTTGGCCACTGCTATATATAGCATGTTTAAATGTGTGTTATGTATGTGTGTACACTTCGAGAGCAAGCTACTCAATTTCCCTTTTAATGTGTGCCGTTGTGCCCACAGGAAAAAATGATAATAAATAGTTATCATTATCAGCAGCAGCATTATCAACTTTAATCTACAGCAGTGTTTCTCAACCTTGGCAACTTCAACTCCCAGAATTCCCCAGCCACTTTTTTCTTTTAAGAAAAAGGAAAAAAAAAAAAAAGACTGAAAAGACAGCTTACAGTTTACCTTTCCAATTTCAGAAGTCCAGGATATAGAAATCTGGTTTGGCACCGCAGAGGAAAGTCTAACTAATGACGTAATATTCAAGGGACGTCCAGGCCGCTTCTGTTCAATTCCATTTTTCGGTGGAGGAGCATAGCCCTGAAAAACACAGCATTTTTTTCCCATTCTTTATTTTCCTAGGGATTTATTTTTATTTTTATAAATAACTCAAGGCAGCAAATGTTATCTAATGCAGGGGTCCCCAACACACACACCCCGGGTCCATGGAAAGGTACCGGGCCGCGGGCATGCCAGCAACCGATCCGCACAAACAAGCAAAGCCCCATCTGCGGGATGAAGGCAGCACACAAAACCACGCACCCTCCGGTCCACGGAAAAACCTCTCTTCACGGAACCGGTCCCTGGTGCCCAAAAAGTTGGGGACCTCTGCTCTAGGGCCTATCTGAACATCAGTGTAGTATTTTAAGGGATTCAATCTGTTTGGTTCCAGTAGTTTCACTAACGCCTGCAACCCACATTTTGCATCTAGCTTGGTGACACTTAATTATGAGTGTGTACTTAGAAGTCACTCGCAACAGCTATACAGGAATGTGCTTGTTAACCAGGGCTGTATAGAGGTTGCAGCTTCTGGAGAACATGAATTGGATCACACTTGGTGCCTGCTTGGCTAGCTTATAACTCAGTGTGTTGTGTAAACCAGGGTCCCCAAACCCCAGTCTGTGGATCAGCACCAGGCTGCGACATGCTAGTCACCGGGCCGCACAAACAAGCAAAGCCCATCTGCGGGATGCAGGCAGTACACAATCACGCACTCTCCGGTCTGTGAAAAAACCTCTCTCCCAAGGAATGGGTCCCTTGTGCTCAAAAGGTTGGGGGCCTCTGATCTAACGCTCTTTCCTCCTTCTGTTTTGTGGGATACAGGCCGTAGCATAATTTATCTAAAATTATGAAGGGGTTCAACTGACTCTTGCAGAAGCATTAAGAATGCGCTTCGTTCCTTCAAGGTATTTGCTACAAAGCTGAGTGACTCTATTCCCCTGGAGCTCATTCCCACATCAAGCAAGACGGTTCTTGTGACTCAATGACATATTTGGGGACAGTAAAAAGGCCAAAATGCCTTAAGCCACCTGGAGTTACAAGGGGATTCAAAACACCATTATCACAGGTTATAGGCAGCCCTGGAACTGTCTCCTTCTAGCTCTTTTCTTCTCCAGAAGTAGAAAACGAAAATTAGAACGAGAAGTGCAAAGATGTTCAGTTATTTTTTTTGCAAATAAGGTAGCCATAACTGGCCATAATTGAGTCCCAAACTTCTGTTGTTACGTGAATTTCGCCCCATTTTACCTTTCTTGCCAGTTCTTTTTTTAAAAAAAATAATATTTTATTAATTTTCTATTTTTACAAATCATTAAGTGCCGAGTAAACAACGTGGTGTCTGGATCCCCTTTTTAAAAAACTTAATAATACACATTAAATTCATAATCTCTACCCCTTTTTTCTGGCCAATAATAAACTACATCCCATATTTAAAATGATCCTATGTCTTCTTTTTTTTTTTATCCTTCAGTATCGATCTGTCCATTTCTACGCAGTCCGGGGGTTTTCTTGTTCATCTCTACTTCAGGTAACGTTTCTCCATTTTTTTCCAGCACAAAGCAAATACAATTCTTACAGCTATTATTACATGCAATACGAAGTATATACTTTCTCGTCCTATTTTTTTCTAACATTATGCCTAATAAAAAATAGTTCCAGTTTATAACATCTTTTCTAGCCAACTCGTATCTCAATTGTATTTGCAACTGAGGCCATCTTATTATTATTCTTGCCAGAGTTCTTAAGTGCATCGCTATAGTTGTTAATAATAACGTGATTGTAAAGTAAATCTGGCTTTGAAACCGGGGACCCCAGGACCATCATAAACGTGAACCAGTTGCCTAGCATCTGAATTTTTATCATGTGACCCCTGGGGATGCTTCAATGGCCGTAAGTGTGAAAAATGGTAGCGTTAATTTTGAACTGTCACTAAACGAATGGTTAAGTCGAGAACTGTAAATCGCAGGATTCTTTTTTCGTTCTGTTTTCCGTTCACAGAATTTTTGATGCATTAACTGTTCTCAGAACGGATCCAAATATTCCAGCAGGCAATCTACCTCAGTGTCGAAGAAACAATGATAAGATGGGCGAAAAAATGTTTTGGGTTATAATATAGAATTAGAAAAATGGCAAAATTTATGGGAAAGAAACTATAAATTGACAATGTCAGCTTCCTACAAAGAAAACTTATACAAAATGTTTTATAGATGGCACCTGCCACCAGCAAGATTAGCAAAAATGTTTAAAAAATATGTCAGGGAGATGTTGGAAATGTAAACACAAGTCAGGCATGTATTATCGTGTTTGGTGGACGTGTGACAAAGTAAAGAATTATTGGAAAAAAGATACATACTTGGCTAGAAAAGATGTTAGGAGAACATGTTGATTTTAAACCTGAACTTTTTTTAATTAGGTACTATGCCAAAAAAAGACTAATAAACAAAGCTTATACTTGACTTTGCATGTCACAACAGCGGCAAGAATTATATTTGCGCAACACTGGAAAAACGAAGGAATACCATCAGATGAAGAAATAATTAAAAAAATACTAGAACACGCAGAGATGGACAGACTGACCATGAGACTGAAAGAAAAAGAAGAATCAGACTATTATCAAATTTGGGATTTATTTTTACCATTGGCTGGAGGAAAGAAGAAAGGATTAGATATTAAATATGCATTAGCATGTAAACCCAGACAGCACATTGGTTGAAAAAATTATTATGTATGGAAAAAATGAATTAAAAAAAATTACACACAAAAAAATCTACATCAGGGTGTCCAACCTTGTCATCTTTAAGACCTGTGGACTTCAACTCCCAGAATTCCCCAGCTTGTTGAAGTCCACAGGTCTTCAAGATGCCAGTCTTGGGACACCCCTGATCTACAACGATGTTAAATCCAGGAGATTCAAGTACAAAGACAGAGTAACGTTCACTTTCGGGCAGAAGAGCATTTAATTTTTTTTTAAATATACTTTTATATTTTCTTTTTAAAACGGTGAATCACCCAGAGTCGTGAACTTGAGAAGGGCATCCATATACATTCAAATAATAAATACATCTAAATAACTCAGTAACCGTACCGGCAATGGGAACAGCTTCCCGTTTACTTTTATGCATAAACTATTGGGGTAGTTGTCCTCTTGAGGGCAGCTCGTTTCTGCTAGGCATAGTCTATTTGCAAAAAAAGAAAAATTTGTTCAGTCAGTGAATTTCATTTGCCGTTCATTCCAGTTAAGGAAGGCATTATGTTATCGTAAGAAAGATGGGAATCACCTGAGTTGAACCTGCACCGTGTAATCTCTTCTGCCTCCAGGCAAAAAGTCCCTGCAGCAATGGAAACAGAACTTGGTTTAGACGGATCTGACCTCCATCTTTCAACATGAACTTGCTCCTGGCCAGTGTCGTGATCCACTGCTTCAATAAAGATCAGAGGGGCAGACACGTTTATAAAGATAAGTTTCTCCCCATATATTGCGAGTTATTTTCAGACAACGTACTAACCAGCTTTCCCAGTGGCAGAAAATAAACTATGAAGAAAGTGAGGTAGGAAGTCTCAGAACAAATGACATTTATTAACACTGTCATACTTGAAGCCAGGGGCAACTGTAACCCAAGTACCCCATGACTAACTGTGACAGGCTGTTACTCGTCGTCGTAGCCTTATCCGCGGCATGCAGGCAAGCTAAGTGATATTATCCAGATCTGTAGGATCCACTTTCTCATGCATTTCTGACATTGCTGAGTTAAAACGTTCGGTAGCCAATAAGATCTGTTTGTTGGGATTAAAGTTTGGGTAAGGAAACGTCTGCAAGAAAACCAACAAGCTCCGAGCAATACATCTTCTCTTCTATCGGTGAAGATCTATTTCAGCAATGGCTAAATTGGCACAAAAATGACCAATCAAAATATTCAGTGACAAATGGCCGTTATTCCTTCCTTCTTTTTCATTAGGGCTATTGAAACTGAAGCAGAATGCTTCATCAATTTACTAGGATCACTCGGCTTAGTATGAAGTTACCTGCTAAAACAGGGGTCTGTCTCCAACCTTGGCAACTTTAAATCTTGTGGATTTCAATTCCCAGAATTCCCCAGCCAGCTTTGCTGGCTGGGGAATTCTGGGAGTTGAAGTCCACATGTCTTACAGTTACCAAGGTTGGACACCTTGCAGCCCAAACTGGGTCTATACCTGTAGCGTAGGTATATATAAAAAAGATCAAACCAGCCTTGGAAGCAAATTAGATTTAAAAAAATGGCCCTGTGAGAACATGGGGGTCTCTTATCCAAACCACTATTCATTGTGGACAATGAGAAATCTTGGCATTGTCTTCTATTTTGCATGCTGGTTTCTGGTGATGTCCTCAACTGGACCGCAGGACTGCAAAAATAATAATAATAATAAAAAATCCCCCGCCCCATTTAGGCCAGAGACATCTGGATGAATCCTGCCTTTGTTGTCGAGCCTTAATAAGCAGCAAACCCCTTTCCGAACACCTCAAACAGAGAGAGAGAAAACGCCTACGTGTAGGATGAATTTGTCATGTGTTACACATTTACAGACACTCAAGGCCATAAACGCCAGTGGGAGGGGTAAAAATGCCCACTGGCAAAAAAAAAAAAAAAAAGCAAGAAACATCAGTGAGAATAAATAAAAATGCAAAAGGAAAGAATAAACCATCGCTGACAGATAGGAACAAATAAAATGAAAAGAAAAAAGAAAAAAGGAAATAGGGCCCCATTAAATGAAAGCTTGAAAAATGTTGAAGAGTCAACCGTTCCAGAGATTCTACGACAGTCAAAGTTGTAGTGAAGGAAAATGCCTTAAAATGGTATCAACGAAATATTCTGAGTTTAGAGGTTTTCAACATTTCCATCAGCGCGAATCTCTGAAAGCCGGATGAAAAAAACAGAAAAGTTTTTTGGGTAAATAACTGTCCCTAGAGTTCAGTTTTGCTGTGTTGAGAGTGCTCACTCCTTTTGATGTATCAAAGTCTAGGTTTTTTTGGACACGAGTTGTACGAGAATTGGTATAAATTAATGGTTAATTTTGATTTTATTTCAATATGTACATATCACTTCTGTAAGTATATGTCCCTAACAGTGTACGCAGGTAATCATATATACATTTTTTTCTCTGACAGAAATAATGGAGTTTCAGGTAACCCGCAAAACAAAATTATTACATGGCCTGTTAATCCAATTGTGCTTCCGTTTGAGTTCATATAATATTCTATTTATTTATTAAATAGAATAGGCATTGTGTAAACCAAATCCACTAAATTTATCTGTAAACAGTGATGGTTTTCTAGTTTAAAGTTTCAGAGGGACAGGAATTCAGTAACATTTGAAGCATAGCCCACAATTTCACCAACCCAATTAAGAATCCTGACCAAATTTCAGCTATGATGTACATGTCCAAAATCCAAAGCAAAAAACATTAACTATCAATTTATATGCTTTACTTCTAACAAATCTTATCACGTTAGTTTTAGGGCTGCACACAACTCTGAATATAATTCAGAAAAAAAGCAGGGGCTGGATCAACCCACTTCTGCTTTTAAGTAAACTTGCAGTCTCCCTAAAAATGGAATTAGATTTAATAAGTTTCTTAAAGGAGACATATTTTTCAAGGTCAGATTATGAAAAAATAACAGACTGCTTTAATAAATAGCAAAAATGTGCTGCTTTGCTTTGAATTATTTTCAAAGTGTACACAATGTTGTTTTCAAAGTTTTATTTGCATAACAAAAATTTGAAATATAGACTTGCAGACACTGGGGAAGGCAACTAACACAAGACAATAAATGCAAGGAAGTAACAATTTTGCTTTGAGAGAACTCACAAAATGCCCAATACCTAGCAAGTATTGGGAGATAAAATGTCTAAGGTAGTTTTTTCATGATATGAAACTGGGCCCAAGGAAATTCAGACCAAGCTTTCTGCTATTACCTGGAAATGCAGATTTCTCTGACTTGTTGAGGTGTTAAAGCAAAAATAAAGAACTTCTCCTGGAATCTCTGAATACTGCTCTGTACTAAAGAGAAAGAGAGAGGAAAGATTTTTGAGCTAAATATAGGAAATCTCTTCTGACTGATACAAAACACATGGAACTATCAATGCACAGTAAAGTAACTATCAAATGTGCACTAAGTAAGAAAGCTCTAAAAGTCAAAATACCTCCATCCTTTCTCAAAACCGTTGTATTTACATTCTTCAGGAACTGGGTAAGTTCACAACTTTACAGTAATCATAACAGAGAATAGATTTGCACCTGAGGAGCTGATAAGTTGCAAGCAGTATTAAGAAAAACGTTCTCCACTTACAGATGGCTAAGAAACTATATTGATAATAAATACTTAAACCACATACAGAGTTCTTTGTATCTGCTTAAGTAGGTAGGATAAGGACTTTGAAAGACAGATCTGATATACACCTGCTTTCCAACTATACTGTGCAATCAGCATGTTCAGAACTACGCTATTTTCAAAATTGATTTCTAGAGCGCCCAATGTGTTTCCTCAGTTTCCCTGATCGTTTATATTCCTTTATCTCTGGATCGAAGGCTTGGCTGGGTCCACCATTTCCTCCCTATGGCCAGATAAATAAAAATCCTTTGGCCTCTGCTTCCTGGGTTCCTTAGTGCAGTTGGCCATGTGTGGCTTCTGGGCTGCATTTGCCATGGCAGTTACAAAGGGCTCCATCAACATCACAGAAGCATTTCCACATAGCAGCACATGCCAGCCAGTGGACCTGGGAGCTGAGTCTGGGGAATCAGAGGAGAAGGAGGGGCCTGGAGTGCCATCGGAGGAAGACTCTGATGAAATCCAAGACTTACAATCTGATGCTCAGGCTGAGGCCCAGCTGTGCTGGGAAGCTGAGTCAGACTCTGAGGACTCACAGCTGGAAGACAGCATAGACCAGGGCTTTTCAACCTTTTCACCCATTGTACCACTTTTAGGATATGGCAACATCTGAGTATCACCAGTCGCCTAGCAAGGTGACAAAAACTTGATGACCAAAAAAAAAAAAAAAAAAAGGAAAAAAGTGATGAAATACAGGTAGTCCTCAACTTACAACAGTTCGCTTAGTGACTCTCAGAAGTTACAATGGCCCTGAAAAAAATGCCCCCCAAGCCACAGCTGAGCAAGACACCTGACTACCCGCCCGGCCGCGCTCTTCCTCCTGTCCGAGGTTTTCATTGTTGTGAGCATTTCTGTTGAAGATTGGCAGCTGGGGTGGGGTGGGGGGTGTGTGTTTGGTTTTTATTCCCCCCGTCTGCTGGGTGGTTGCAGCAGGTTTTGGTCCCTTCTCATGACCCTGGGACACTGTGACCGTCATAAATATGAATCAATTGCCAAGCATCTGAATATAAATCATAAGACCCTGGAGAGGCTGCAACATTCCAGCTGATCGGCGCTTCTTCAGGGCTCAGCAGAAGCGCCAGGATCAGTGCCGAATTCCAGCTGGAGCCTGGCGCTGATCCTGGTGCTTCCACTGAGCCCTGACTGCCCCAAAGAAGCACTGATCCTGGCGCTTCCGCTGAGCCCCGACAGCCCTGCAGCTCCAGCCGGTCTCTCGCTCAGGCTTGTGCGGTGCTGCCACCGGTTCAGTTCATTCCCCTCCCCCACTTCCCCTCTAGGATGGTTGCGTACCACCTGCCACGTGCCAATGTACCACAGGTGGTACCCGTACCACTGGTTGAAAAGCCCTGCTCTAGAGAAAAGGACCAGGAGTGACAGGATAGCAGTCTTCCAATATTTAAGGGGCTGCCACAAAGAGGAAGGGGTCAACTTATTTTTCAAAGCATCAGAAACAAGACTAGAAACAATGGATGGAAACTATTCAAGGAGAGAAGCAACCTGGAATTAAGGAGAAATTTCCTAACAGTGAGAATAATTAACCAGTGGAACAGCTTGCCACCAGAAGTTGTAGGTGCTGCATCACTGGATTTTTTTTTTTAAAAGACTGTGGACAGTCCCCTGTCTGAAATGGTATAGACCAGTGTTTCTCAACCTTGACCATTTTAAGGCATGTGGACTTCAACTCCCAGAATTCCACAGCCAGCAAATTCTGGGAGTTGAAGTCCACATGCCTTAAAATGGTCAAGGTTGAGAAACACTGGTATAGGGTCTCCTGCCTGAGCAGGGGGTTGGACTAGATGACCTCCAAGGTCCCTTCCAAATCTATTCTGATTGATTGATTGAATCGTGTGCAGAGAAGAGAATTGAATTAGATGATTTCCAGAGTCACTTCTAATCCTATGGCTCAGTTGGAAGAGCCTACTATAGACCAGGGAGCTTGTAGTTTTCCTGAGCAAACCCCCTGACCTTATACTCACAGACTGCTGAAAACCACAGACCCCTTTTTCCTACACCTGTACAAAAGAAAGACTAGCTTTTCAATCCCAATCTGACAACTTTCCTCAGTTATAAGCTCAGATAACATGCAGATGAAGGGAACCTTGCACAGCTTCATTTGCTGCTTTATTTATAGCACTGAGACACGTTATGCACAGGAACAATTCAAAATCCCATATATATATATATATATATATATATATATATATATATATATATATATATATATATATATATATATATATATATGTCTTGGCGATTTCGATATATGATATATATACTTCGTCGAATATGTATACCAATATGTATACCTATTGGCACACCATACTATAGCTATAGCTCTTCTTTTTTCTTTTTGAAAGGCTACAGCACTTAAAATGGGAGCGCTGATCAGGTGGAACACTTAACAATCACACAATTCGAAGTTAGTCTTTGTCTGGATTGGGAACAATAGTCAAGGCAAACCGCTTTGGCATGGAAAAAGTTCAGAGAAGAGCAACTAAGAGGATCCAAGGCCTGGAGACTAAAACACACGAAGAACGGCTGGGGGACTTGGGTTTGGCCAGTCTAAAGCAAAGAAGAAACAGGGGAGACATGACAGCAGTCTTTCAGTATTTGAGGAGCTGCCCCAAAGAAGAGGAGGGGGTCAAGCTATTCTCCAAAGCACCAGAGGGAAGGACGAGAAACAATGGTTGCAAACTGACCAAAGAGAGAAGCAACCTGGAATTAAGGAGAAACTTCCTGACAGTGAAGACAATTAACCAGTGGAACAGCTTGCCACCAGAAATCGTGGGCGCTCCATCCCTGGAGGTTTTCAAGAGAGTGGACAGTCACTTGTCTGCCGTAGTCTAGGTTCTCCTGCTCGAGCAGGGGGCTGGACTAGAAGACCTCCAAGGTCCCTTCCAGCTCTATTCTATTCTATTCTATTCTATTCTATTCTATTCTATTCTATTCTATTCTATTCTATTCTATGCTGCCTTATTTTTTTCTATCCTGACTAAGCCTTTGTATCAAAGGTGTGTATTTCAGCACACTTACCTAAGCTGGTAGGCTTTATGAGGACATCCAGCACATCATAAAAAGGGAGATTCTTCAACTGGACGTCGGGATGCACTGGAGGGGCCGAAGGGGACGGCTGCTGCATCTCAAAACGAGGCTTGGTGTCTTGGAGTAACACTGAAGCAAGAGGAGAGGCAGGTGACTGAGGGGCGGCCGAAGTGGAAGGTGCAGGATGCAATCCGGGCACGGCTAAGTCGGGCTCCGCCGAAGAAGAGCCACTGTCCAGGTTGAAAACCGAAGACTTCAGCGCAGTCAAGTCAGAGAGGCTTTCAATTGTCCTGGGGTAGCGGCGCCTGTAGAGTTCACGGATCTTGATCTGAACCGCTGGGCTACAGCCGCTCTTCAGCAAGTGCAAAGCCCTCATGAGGAGGTCATGTTTGCGCCCGCTTTTGTTACGTCCGGCAAAACCCAGCAACACTTGCAGTTCAGACACCCGAAAACTCGATACCATATTCTAGGAGTAACGACAGATCAAGAATATGTCAGATGATGGGCAGTGGCAGGAGGGACTGATAGCCCTGGGTTGAAAAATTAAAATAAATATTGTTTTATTTACATCGTAATATGGCCAACAAAACCTTCATGACTGAGGTTGTTTTGATTTTTACCGAAATATTGAGAGTATTGCAGTTGGGATGTAGTTAAAAACCCTACTCAAAACTGCGCCTCACACATACACGACACGCATTCATCTCAATAACGGTGACTTTTCATAGAGCCAGCAACGTAACCTCCACAATGATAGCAATAAAGTAAAACAGAAGCTCTAACGGAGCGACACATTTATAGCACAGAGTTAAAAGCCCAAACACTCATTTGGGTTGCTGTCCTGTTTTTGTTTCGCAGTTTTTCAGAATTTCATAGGCACAGGGGATCTCATATCCATCTTCTTGTTCCAGGCAGGATATTTGTGGTTAGAGCTCAGCTCAGAGGTGTCAGTTAATCTGCACGCATTCCTTGCAACACTCAACCAGCGACTTGAGGTGGAAGTCTACTTGATAAACGCAGAAATAAATAAAACAAATGTTATCTCCTTACATTTTCTCAGGGCTAAATGTAGCTACTGTTTGTCTGTCTTCGTTTATCTAATACAGGACTTTTCAACCTTTTCACCCATTGTACCACTTTTAGGATATGGCAACATCCAAGTACCACCCGTCGCTTAGCAAAAACTTGATGACCCCCCCCCAAAAAAGGAAAAAAGTGATGAAGTACAGGTAGTCCTCGACTTAGAACAGTTTGCTTAGTGACTGTTTGAAGTTACAATAGCCCTGAAAAAAGTGCCCCCCAAGCCACAGCCGAGCAAGACACCTGCCTGCCCGCCCGGCCGCGCTCTTCCTCCTGTCTGAGGTTTTCATTGTTGTGAGCATTTCTGTTGAGGATTGGCAGCGGGGGTGGGGTGGGGGGGTGTTTGGTTTTTATTCCCCCCGTCTGCTGGGTGGTTGCAGCAGGTTTTGGTCCCTTCACATGACCCTGGGACACTGTGACCATCATAAATATGAATCATATGCCAAGTGTCTGAATGTAAATCACAAGACCCTGGAGAGGCTGCAACATTCCAGCTGATCGGTGCTTCTTCTGGCGTTGATCCTGGTGCTTCGGCTGAGCCCTGACAGCCCCAAAGCGCTGATCAGCTGGAAAGCGGCACTCATACTGGCGCTTCCTCTGAGCCCTGAAAAAGCGCTGATCCTGGCACTTCCGCTCAGCCCTGCCAGCCCTGCAGCTCCAGCCGTCTCTCGCTCAGGCTTGTGCGGCGCTGCCACCGGTTCAGCTCATTCCCCTCCCCCACTACCACTTTTCTAGGATGGCCGTGTACCACCTGCCAGGTGCCAATGTACCACAGGTGGTACCCGTACCACAGGTTGAAAAGCCCTGTTCTAATTGTTGTGATTGCTTCCAGAGACGTGTATCGTATTTTTTGTCATTGTAGTGCCACTGTAACTTCTAACATTTGCCAAAGGAACTGTTGTAAGTCGAAGACTGCCTGTATATGAAAGTTTTGACTGTCATTGGATTTGTCATTTTTTCCCGACTTTAGTCCCCCGTATTTTCCAAGATGCCAGTCACGTGATGCCGCACTTTACATCCGGGGTGCTTTGCGATGAAGACTCCCATCCCAAATTCCATCGTTAAGTGAGGACTATCGGTATAACAATGCATATATACACGACTTCTGAGCTTTATTCCTCTGGGAGTTTGGGGACATATTTTGCTATCTTCTTGTAGAGTCCGACCTCGGCTCCACTTTGACTTTCTATTATTTGGGTGGTGTCTTGTCTTTCAATTTCAAGAGAAATTGGTGTGCAGGAATACATGCAGCACCAATAAAGGAGAATATCTGCAGTTCAGGGTTGAAATGAGGGATTCGTGGTGCCCCTCTGAGCTTGGTTGTCTTCTTGCACAAGTTTCATTACACAAACTAGGGAACATCGTTGGTGCTGGTCCTAGCCTTAGTGCTAATGATGTTACCTAATGCCGGTAATGAAAGGTCTGCAAGAAAGCTTAGAGCAGTGGTTCTCAACCTTTCTAATGCCGCAACCCCCAACCAGTCGTAAGTCGAGGACTACTCAACTGGTACAGCACCGTTTGCAGAATGGGACTTTTGGCGGGCTCAGCAGGGCAGAGACAGCCTGGACAATTCCTATTGGCTTTGGAAAGCCAATAGAATTAGACTCTATTCAAGAGAGTCTATTCCATTGGCTTTCAAAAGCCAAGAGAATAAAAGGGAGTAGCACAGCTAAGGAAAAGGGGGAAAAAAATGGCGGACTGCGTTGTTTGGCGACCCCCGTGAAATGGTCGTTCGACCCCAAATGGGGTCCTGACCCACAGGTTGAGAACCGCTGGCTTAGAGAGCACTAAGGACCCCTCACATACAACATGTACTGCAACCAATTTTGGCCACCGTACTACAAAAAAGATGTTGAGACCTTGGAAAAAGTTCAGAGAAGAGCAACTAAGATGATCCAAGGCCTGGAGACTAAAACTTACGAAGAACGGCTGCGGGACTTAGGTTTGGCCAGTCTAAAGAAAAGAAGAAATAGGGGTGACATGATAGCAGAGTTCCAGTATCTGAGGGGCTGCCACAAAGTAGAGGAGGGGATCACGTTATTCTCCAAAGCACCAGAGGGAAGGACGAGAAACAACGGTTGGAAACTGACCAAAGAGAGAAACAACCTGGAATTAAGGAGAAACTTCCTGACAGTGAGGACAATTAACCAGTGGAACAGGTTGCCACCAGGGTCTCTGAAGGTCTCTGGCAGAAGGGAGTGGGACCGGGGCAGGCGCCAAGGCATGGTCCATTTCTTCATTCCTCACGAAGGGTGACCCCTCCCCAGCATGCATCCAGGGATGGGGCCGACATGGCAGGGGCTGGTTCCTTGCTGTTTCTAGACGGCCTTGTGGAGCCAAGACTGAATGCGTTTCAGTATGGATGGCTGCCACAAAATTGTACATTGGCTCCCGGCCGGCCTGGGCCAGGGCCAAGGCAGTGGGGGCCATTCCCTCACTGTTTCCAGGATGGCTTCGTGGGCCACATGAAACCACTTTGCGGGCCGCATCCGGCCCCCGGCCTTGTGCGTGACATGTCTGATCTATTCTGTTCTGTTCTATTCTATTCTATCCCATGCCATGCCATTCCATTCCTATTCCATATTATCTATTCTATTCTTTCTCTATTCTATTCTACTCTAAATTCTATTCTAATTCTATTCTAAATTCTATTCTAATTCTATTCTACCTATCAGCAGTTCCCTTAAAGAAGCTGTGTGATTTCCCAGGATTACACTTGTATGGCCACCTTCCACTGCTACAGCGCAATCCTGAGACAAGTTTCACTTAATATGAGTAGTTCTCAGCTGTTATCTGCACACCTACAATGACCCCAAAACATTTTTCTCTCCAGAACATAGCATGGCCGTAACAGCACTGTGATAAATGACAAAAGAAATGAGTAGAAATATACTTTCGCAATTTCAAATACTTTGCAATAATAACCGTCTCTTCATTTCAACAATCAAAGAAATCAATTATATAGTGCTACTTGGTTAATCAATGCTGAACATGTCAGATTGCCATTTAATGTTTCAAGGGAGAAATTGTCAACAATGGAGGGAGAAACCAAAGACGTAAAACACGGTGTTGTTGTTTTTTTAAAAAAATAATCTGACAGAATTCTCAGTTAAGAGTATTGAATACACAAGCAGGATATTGTTAAACTGTTAACATCTTAATTTTCCTTTTTAACAGTTCTCAGGCCAATAAACTTTCCAAAGACTGTGCCATCAATTAAAATTTGAACTGAAATCAAATTAAACAGAAGACGGGGGGGGGGGGGGAAGGGAAACGGCAGCTCCAAAAAGGCTCTTTCAAACCATACTTGTACTTTTCTTCTTCTCTCTTTGGCCATTAATAACAACATTTTGTATACTAAAAAGTATTACTTGAACAAGTCAGAATAAAATCGTAACTACAAAAAAGTTAGACCCTGCATATTTCCCCCCCACCCAAAATTTAAATCAGTTTCAGGACATAAAATAAAACCAAAGTCATAAAAGTATACAAGAGGTGGAGTGACTTATGACCCAGAATTTCTGATCCAAATCATGACAGTTGTAAATCAAGACACCTTGTGACAACCTGATTTTACCACCTTTTTGGTAGCAGTTTATTAAGCAAACATGGCAGTCGTTAAGCGAGTCCATGCATTCCTATGGATGTTTATGCTTGGAAACTGGCCGAAAAGACCAATTTTGGGCTAAAACAGCTGTAAACAGCACCACACGATTGCAGAATGTCGGAACTCTGAGATGGCAGGTTAAGAAGTGTGAGAAACGAATATAAATATATAAACTGGCCATAAGGCCAGCCGGTTGCCTCGTTACTATGGGAGTTGCCTCCTTCAGAAACCTAGAATTGGGTCCTAAGTTATCTTTGGAGTGGGGGGGGGGGTTGCATCATAATTTCAACCAGTGGCTAAGCAACTGGTCATTAAGTGAGAACTATCTATAGTTAAATCTACAAAGCACTGTTAGACTTTGTTAATTCAAGTGACATGGTCCATCGGCCTTATCTTCAGCCCAGTAATCTATTATCTAACAATAATGGATTCGAAAGCACATTGCCTATAAAAGCTTTCAGAGATTTCTTCAGGAAAGTCTCCTCACACCCAGGACTTCAAGAGTAAAACCCAGAGATTAAAAGCCCAACCTTGCCTGTTTTTAAACCTTGCCTATTTTTTAAAAAACCGTTCTCAAACAATAGATGGGGTCGCCTCTCAAGCATGTAGAATATTAAGACACTCAGAGAGGGCCTGGTACTTTTTGTGGGTTCAATGGAGGGAAGGAAACCCAGCAGGGAAAGCGCAGAAGCTTCAGAAAAAGGCCTTTGTGAGAATGGAGGGGAGGGAGAAGGATGTAAGAAAGGAAGAGCAGAATTAGGATCTGAGAAGGGGGTTAGGTGGATAAAGAGCACAGGAAAATAATTTGGAATAGTTCCCAAACATCCCTCTTTATCAAAGTGAGAAAGGAAGCTGTTTTTCTCGCCAAGAGCCTGGAATTGGAACCACAGAAAGAGAGGCTGTGAAGGAGGCAAGGGAGAAAGTCAGACTGACTGACTCCGGAGCTGCAGGGACACAAAAGCCCATCGTTCTGGGCCGCAGGGGAAGCCAAACGGAGTGGATTGCTGGTGGGAAAGGAGACCTCTAAGAGTCAGAAAAGGAGGGGCTGCTCCGAGGAAGGTATGGGCTAGGGGTGACTTAATAAAATAGGAAGGGGGCTGATAGGGCTGACTTAAGAAATGAGGGATTAAGGGAGACATAGGAAACGGGGGGGGGGGCTGATAAGGGGACCTAAGAAATAAGGCCGCTGGTAGGGGTGACCTAAGCTATAAGGGAGGTGGGGTTAGGGTGAGTTAGAAAATAAGGAGGGGTTGATAAGAGTAACTTAGGAAATAAGTGGGGGTTGCTAGGAGTGATTTAGGGAATGGGGGGGCTGACAGGGGTGATTTAGGGAATAAGGAGGGGCTGATAGGGGTGACCTAAGCAATAAGGGAAGGGGGTTAGAAAATAAGGGGGGGTTGATAAGAGTAACAGGAAATAAGGGGGGGTTGCTAGAAGTGATTTAGGTAATAAGCAGGGGGGGGACTGCTAAGGGTGATTTAGGAAATAGGGAGGGCTGATGGGGGTGATTTGGGTTAGGGAATAAGGGGGGGCTGATTTGGGGAATAAGGGAGGGCTGATGGGGTGACCTAAGAAATGAGGGGGCTTAGGGTGAGTTAGAAAATAAGGGGGGGGTTTGATAAGAGTAACTTAGGAAATAAGGGGGGGCCGATAGGGGTGACCTAAGAAAGGGAGGGGGTAGGATGATTTAGGAAATAGGGAGGGCTGATGGGGGTGATTTGGGTTAGGGAATAACGGGGGGGGCTGATGGGGAGACTGAAGAAGTATAGAGGAGACTTGGGAAACGGGGGGGGGGACTGAGGACAAAAGGGGATCCAAGGGGCGATGAGGGGGGGCGGGAGGGTCAAGTGAGGCAGCCAAGTTCAGTCCAGGCTCCCCCCCCCCGCTCCCTCTCGTAGTTTTTTTTTAAAAAACACGCGGCTTCCCCCCCCCCATTACATACGAGCCCTCCCTTTGTCTCCACCCGCCCTCGGAAGCGCCCACAGCGAGCCCAGCAGGGGCAGGACGATGGGCGTTGTAGTCCCAGGGCGACCGGAAGGAAACGGAGGCCGGGAGGGTGGGGAGAAAGGGGAAAAAAAAAAAAAAAAGACAGGGACGGGAGCTGAAGGGAAGGCGGCCCCGCGCGCGCGCGACTCCCAGGCGCCGGGACTACAATTCCCATGAGCCTCGGGCGGCCGGAGGTAAGGCAGAAAGGAGGAGGAGGAGGAAGAGGACCCCCCCCATCCCGGGCCCACGGGAAAAGGAAGGCCTCCCCCCCCCGCCCAGCCCGCCGCGGGGACGGCCGCTCGCTCCCCTCACCCTGAGCTCCTCGAAATCCGCCATTTTCTACCCGCCGCCTGGCTCGGCCTCCGCCGCCGGCACCGTCGCCGCCGCCACCATCCTGCAGGGTCGCCCGCCGACGCGCTGACGTGAGGGGCGGGGCGGGGAACCGCCGTGGCCACGCCCACCCGACTGCGGAGGGCGCCGGCCGTTAAAAAGGGCGGGGTTTAGGGTGGGGAGGGAAGGCGCGCGCCTTCGCTCGCTCGATTTTTCCCGCCTTTTTTTCCGAGCGATGCGCGCGCACGTGCGCGGGAAAAAAAAAAGGCTCTCTCGCTCGCTCCTCCCGGGCTCGCGCGCCTCAAATCGAATCGAACCTTTATTGTCAAAGTACAGCATGTGTACAATGAGGTTGGCTGAGCCTCCCTTCGTGTACACACACACACAAAAACACATGACACAACTCACAGTGACAGCAAACACACCATCTTATTGCACCACGCGCCGGCCCCGCAAGTCTATCATACGTGGAGTGATTTCCCATTCAAAAGTCTTGACTGCCCACGGGTGGAAACTGTTCTTCAGCCTGTTGGTGCGGCTGGCTATGCTTCTATATCTCCTGCCCGATGGTAGGAGAGTAAAGAAGTGCTGACCAGGGTGTGAGTCGTCCCTGAGGATTTTCCTCACTCTTCTCAGGCAGCGAGCCGTAGTAATGTCTTTCTACCCGCGGCTGTCAAGCCGGCGTACCACACCATAATGCAATGTGAGAGGACGCTTTCTATAGTGGACCGGTAAAAGAACGTCATCGGTCCTTGTTCCACTTTGTTCTTTGTTCCTCCGGCAGCGAAGCTGAGGAAAAACCCGCTTCTGCCGGTCCAGGATTTCAAGGAATGAGCTGGATGGAGAGATCTGAGGAGAAACTCCCAGAATTCCTGAGCCAGTGTGGGGGAACTATGGCCCCTTCATGTCTTGTGGACTTCAATTCCCAGAATTCCTGAGCCAGCATGGCTCAGCTTGGAAACCTCTCCCTTTCCCCTCAGCATGGCTGGCTCAGGAATTCTGGGAGTTGAAGTCCACCAGTCACAAAACAGCCAAGGCTGCCTATCCCTGCCCAAATGCCTGAATTTTGATCATGTGACCATGAGGAAAAAATATTTAAATATTTAAACCAGGGGTCTTCAAACTTGGCCCTTTTATGACTGGTGGACTTCAATTCCCAGAATTCCTGAGCCAGGATGGGGGAACTATAGCCCCTTCATGACTCGTGGACTTCAACTCCCAGAATTCCTGAGCCAGCCTGGCTCAGCTTGGAAACTCTCCCTTTCCCCTCAGCATGGCTGGCTCAGGAATTCTGGGAGTTGAAGTCCACGAGTCATAAAAGAGCCAAGGTTGTCTACCCCTGGTATAAATCTTGTGAACTCTCAATATTCCTCTTTCTGCTATGTATTCAAGATGGACAGTGATTAATATTTAAATGTTATTTATATGTAAAGGTATATGTTTATACATATGTTGTATATAATGTGCTTATATGTATGTTAGGTATGCATACACTTTTGAGAGCAGGCAACAGAATTTCATTTTTAATGTGGGCCAATGTGCCCACAATAAAAAATGACAATATAGGTTATTTTTTTTAAGAAAATGTTTTCTATTTATCTCTTGTGAGATTGGCCTACCTGCCAAAAAGAAGATAAGATAACCTTTATTGCCATTTTTTTTACTGTGGGCACAACAGCACACATCAAAAATGAAATTTAGTTGCCCGCTCTCAGAATGATAGAAGGCAGATCAGGAGGTGTGTTATAAAAATGTAGTTCATCCTGATCCCTTTTAATTGACAAAAAGTGGCACAGGCTATAACAATCTTGTCGACTTCAAAAGGCTTAGAATGGAAATATTAACCAGTTTATATAGTTGTCCATCTGCTCAGGGAACTCTGATGAACATAAAATTCCAGGACAGCTGTAATATGTGCACCCAGGACAGGATATGCTGATCACACTAGAAGCTAATGTATTCATGGCCAGCTGCAGATTGCAAATTGTCTTCAAGGACAGCCTGATATAAAGGCTTTGCAGTAGTCCAATCAAGAAGTAATCATGAGTTGTGCCTCCCAATTTAGGAATAGACATAATTGGTACATAAGATATAACTTCTGTGATCCTTTTAATTTTCTGGAGGTCATTTAAAATCTCACTCTTGGGTCAGAGTGTGATAAGAATGTTAATGTCATCAGGGAAGTGTGGTAACACCAGGTTTTTCTGTTCTTGGTTTTACTGTTTATTATCAAATTTGTTTGCTGTGTCTTTTAGAACATTAATATACTATATCGCACAGTTCTTGACTTAACAACCACAATTGGGGCCAAAATTTGCATTACTAAGCAAGGGAGTTAAGTGAATTGTGCCCCGTTTTACAATCTTTTTTGCCCATGTTGCTAAGTGAATCGCTGCAAGTAAGTGAATCTGAGTTTCCCGTTGACTTTGCTTGTTGGAAACTGGCTGAGAATGTTGTCAATGGCAATCGCATGATCAGTTTTGATCCTGTGGCTGTGGAGATGTTGTAAATGTTGCAAGGTTATGTGGGAAGTCAGCCCCCCAGAGAAGGAAATATTAAAAAGGCAGAAAAATATATTTCCTAAAAGGATCTTAAAGAGGCAGAAAAGCATGCCCAGTTTTTCTTAATAGCCCCAAGTCTCCCTCCCCCAAGCAGAAACCAGCTCTGTAGAAATGCAGATGTAAACCATCAGGATGGTCGAAGCTAGAAGCTTAGGAAGACAAAGACACCTAAAATTTACATATCCCACCCAAACTCTAAAACAGGACATAATAGGATTAACCCACAGATGCCAAAGGGCACACCCAGACTCAGGTCAGAATACATGACACAGGAAATTGCCTCAAACAGGAACAGGAAACAACTCCAAACAAAAGGCTCCAGAGGGTATAAAAACCCACTCCCTACGTGTGCTCCCTCTCTTTTCTTCCAGAGCCATCTTCCTGTCTGGCTCTCCTCTTCAATAAACTGCAACCTTCTTTTTAAAGCAGTCGCCATGTTTATTCCCAGCTTGGACTGAACCACGATGAAGACTTTTCTTTCAAGAGTTACAAGTCACTTTTTTTCAATGCTTTTGTAACTGACTGGTCACTAAATGAGTGATTATAAGTCAAGGACTGTAGCAGTTTATTTTAAATTGACTGAAGAATCTTAGGGTTCTCAAGAGAATTTGAAAGTAGGACAAAGGAGGCAGTGGTTCTCAACCTGTTGACTCCTCAGGGTCTGTCGCAATGTCATGGGGTCCGCAAAGGCTTGAAAAAGTGTTGTGATTTAAATCTTGAGTTAAGTCTTGGTGATCCGTGGCCATGGTCTGTGACCACAACAGGTATTTAAAGGGGGTCTGTGGTGAAGAAAAGGTTGAAAACCACTGCTATCAGGAATTGAGAGAAAAAATAATAAAAGTTAGGAAGACTCAGCCATCTATTCCTGCCTAGATAACTATCTCTTTCATTTGCTTTGTCACCAGAAGGCAGAGGACGGGGTATAAATACCTGCAGCCAGACATTCACAATGAAAACAATCTATGTCCACACTCATCCTAGCTATACTGTATATTCATGCCTATTTTTTTAAAAAAAAATTAAGTCTAATATTTATCTAACATGAACATGTTTCAAGATGGTAGATCATTCACTACAAACTGGTATAAAGGCAGCGAATAAAATGGAGAAAGCAGGAAGAAGAAATTGCAGAGCTGCTGATGGTTAAAATGCAAGCTTTGAGAAACGAAGCTCAAAGAGAAATGGAACTATAAGACTTTTATCAACTTTGGTTTTTACATGAAACGGCACATGGAGATAAGTGGACTGTTGAAAAAGAATTTGAATCCTGCAAAAGATCAAAAGATTGAAGGGCAGGGCTCCTCAACTGCTATTTTGCTTCTGTCTCCTCCAGGGGGAATTTCAAATAAACCCTAAGCAATTCATATAGTAGCAACCCAAAGTTAGCCAATCGTGATTACTAGCTACCAGGAATGAGTTTAAAAGGAGTAGCTTAATTACAAGCAAATCTTGACAGATTTATGGATGTTATTTCAGAGTTCCCTTCTCTGATCTTTGAGAATTCATGAAAGGGATTTAGCCCCAGAAGACTGGAGAAGGGTAAATGTTCCTGTCTTCAAAAAGAATAAAACAAAGAAGAACCAATCGGCCTGACATCACTGCTGCGTAACATTCAGCAGTTGGTTTGTGAGCATTTTAAGCGGGACCCAGCACAGGTTTATCAATAATAAGTTAAGCCAAACCAGAATAATTTCCTTTTTGGATAAGCGTCCCCAGGAATTCTATAATTTAGCTTGAATTTAGCAAAGTATTTGACTAATTGGCCCACGAAATCTCTAGTAAAGTTGACAGCATGTGGGCTGGCTTATATTAATGGTCAAACTTATTCAAGAAGTGTGTCCTTGGTTCCCTGTCAAGTTGGACAGTGTTAAATGGTGTCCATTTAACTTTATTCTAGTTGCTGTACTTGCCAATATATTTCTTAGTGAACAACGGTCCCACCTGCAAAATAATCAGGTGTCTTCCAACTGCGGCATAAATAGAATAGCGTGATAATTAAGAAAAACCATAACTCTTCTCTACTTTGCCTTGGTGAGATCTCACCTAAATGATCATCTCTGGGTAACACAATCCTAAACACAATTTAGGAATGACATTGACAATCCAGAGGATAGCTACCAAGATGGTAAGAGCTCTCTAGAAGGAAAGGCTGGCGAATTTTAGCCTGGCAAAGAGAAGACTACCTGGAGACTTGATAGAAGACCAAATAGATTAGGTTGTCCCAGAACAACTGAGTTGGAATGGACCTTGGGGGTCTTCTAGTCCAGCCCCCTGCTCAAGCAGAACCTTATACCAGGGGTCTTCAAACTTGGCCCTTTTAGGACTTGTGGACTTCAAGTCTCAGAATTCCTCAGCCAGCGTGCCTGGCTGAGGAATTCTGGGACTTGAAGTCCACAAGTCCTAAAAGGACCAAGTTTGAAGACCTCCTGCCTTATACTATTTCAGACAAATAGCTGTCCAAGCTTTTTTTTAAAAACAACAACAACAACAACTCAGTAATGGAGCACCCATAACTTCTGAAGGCAAGCTGTTCTACTGATTAATTTTTGTCACTTTCAGGAAGTTTCCATCCATTGTTTTTTTTATCCTGTCTTCTGGTGCTTTGGAAAATAGCTTGACTCCCTCTTCTTTGGGGCAGCCCCTGAGATATTAGCACACTGCTATCATGTTACCCTTAGTCCTTTTCTTCATTAGACTAGACATCCAGTTCCTGCAACAGTTCATATGTTTTAGTCTCTAGTCCCCTGATCATCTTTATTGCTCTTCAGTGCACTCTTTTAGAGTCTCGGAAGATACAACAAGAAACTTAAATGAGCAAGTAAATTTTGGTTGGACATCGTGAAAAATAATGAGAATTGTTCCACAATTGAACAGGTTGCCTTGGGAGGTGATATACTCTTTGCTGGGAGGTTTTAACAGACTGAACGGCCACCCTCAGGGACACTGTAGCAGGTGGGCAGGGGAGTTGGACTTGATCTAAGATAAGATAACCTTTATTGTCATTTTTTTTTTACTGTGGGCACAAGGGCACACATCAAAAATGAAATTGAGTTGCCCGCTCTCAAAAGTGAAACAAATCTCCCTGGTTTCTTCCTACAGTCTGTGATTTTAGTGGAAATCCAATCCAAACAGAGAAAGATAAGAAAGCCAGTAATTTACATTAGAACGAAAGAAACCCAATTACAACATCTGAGAAAAGTTTTCATATTGTTACACAGGCAGTGTGCATGGCTGAGGAATTCTGGGAGCTGAAGTCCACAAGTCATCAAAGGGCCACGTTTGAAGATCCCTGGTATAGGGTTTCCTGCCTGAGCAGGGGGTTGGACTAGATGACCTCCAAGATCCCCTACCAACTCTATTCTGATTGACGCCATGTGAATTCTACCTCCGACCGCTGTCAATCAAATAGGCTCCCCCCCAAGGACCCGCCCTACTCCATTAAGGCCATCCCTATTACGTCACCAGTTCCAGTCCATTGGCAGAAGGAAAAAACTGCTTCAATCAAGAGGCGACAGGAGACTCGGTTGGATGCTTAGCCCCCTTTGCAGTGCCGTCATTGGCTAATTTCTCCCGCCCCGTCGGTGATTGGTCAATCCCCGCCCTTCGCTTCATTACGTTCTAGTCGATTGGCGGCTTTCCCTTCGCTTTTAATCCCACCCCTCGCCTCGTTAGTATTGGCTGAGCAGGTGTCCGTTGCAGGACATTGATTGGTCCGCCTAATTTCTCGGCTGACAAGCGCCGCTGAGGGAGCGATGGAGCTTTTTGAAGCCCTAACGAAATAATAGGAAGGCGGAGTCGCTTCGAGTTCGTTTTTTTTTTCCAGTCGCGCCCTTGAAATGGAGCTAACTTATCAGTCGTTGAGAACGACGCACCAGGTCAGAGAAGAAGTGAGTGAAAAGGGAAGCCGTTCCTGTTTGCCCAGTAACTATGGTAACCGTGGGCGCGGGGGGCGGGGCTGGTGACGCACGCGCGCTGGGGAAAAGTCGCGCCCGCGGGGCGCATGCGCTTTGCAAGCAGCCGGTCTAAGTTGGGCCTCTCCGCCTTGGATCTCTCCAGGCCTCCCGTTAAAGAGTCACGTTGGGACGGCTGGAAATGAAAAGGCCTGGACCGTCCCCCATCCTCCACATGGCCGGCCTTTCCCCTCCCTTCGTTCCAGGCCGGAATCTGAATAGAGGTGGAAGGGACCTTGGAGGTCATCTAGTCCAGCCTCCCCCCCCCGCTCAGGCAGGAAACCCTGTAGCAGGGGGGTTTTTAAGCTTGGCCCTTTTATGACTTCAACTCCCAGAATTCCTCAGCCAGGAACTCTTCATCTAGGCCAGGGGTCTTCAAACAGCCCCCCCCCCCTTTGATAACTTGTGGACTTCAACTCCCAGAAAGCTGGCTGAGGAATTCTGGGAGTTGAAGTCCACAAGTCATCAAAGGGCCACGTTTGAAGACCCCTGCCCTATACCATTTCTGTCCAGTCTCTTCTTAAAAGCCTCCAGTGATGGAGCATTCACAACATCTGGTAGCAAGCAGTTCCACTGGTTAATTGTTTTCACTGTCAGGAAGCTTCTCCTTAGTAATAGAATAGAAATAATAATAATAATAATAATGGTTTTTGGTTTTTTTCTTTCCAAGCCAACTGGATGGCATCACAGCCGTGCGTGGGGTGCGCGTGTGTGCATGCGTGTGTGTGTGTGTGTCTGCGTCCATCTGTCTTTCTGTCTGTTGGACTTGGGGCAGCACGGGACCCCGATCCGTGCTTTGGGTTTCCGATCTGGCTTCCTGGATGTGGAATCCCGTCCCTGGGGAAGAAACAGGCAGGTGGGGGGAGGGAAGTAGAGTTAAACTAATAATAATAATAATAATAACAACTGGAGCACCACTTGAACACCATTGGCATTGACAAATTCGCCATTAGTCAATTGCAAAAGGTGGCCTTACTAGGAACTGCTTCCATCCTGCGACGATACCCGTAATACCATCAAACATCCACATCTGCCTATCCCAAGTCCTGGGTAAGGACTCGATAGGTAGACAAAATGCCAAATCCAGTCTGAACATCTGGCTGACGGTGCGATGATTAATAATAATAATAATAATAATAATAAAGTTGGAAGGGACCTTGGAGGTCATCTAATCCAACCCCCTGCTCAGGCAGGAAACCCTATACCATTCCAGACAAATGGCTGTCTAGTCTCTTCTTTAAAAACTTCCAGTGTTGGAGAATTCGCAGCTTCTGGAAGCAAGGAGTTCCACTGGTTAATTCTTCTGTCAGGAAGTTTCTCCTTAGTTCTAGGTTGCTTCTCTCCTTGGTTAGTTTCCATCTGTTGCTTCTTGTCCTGCCTTCTGGCGCTTTGGAGAATAGCTTGACTCCCTCTTCTTTGGGGCAGCCCCTGAGATACTGGAAGGCTGCTATCCTGTCCCCCCTCGTCCTTCTCTTTGTTAAACTAGACATACCCAATTCTAGCAACCGTTCCTTGTATGTTTTAGCCTCCAGTCCCCTGATCATCTTTGTTGCTCTTTAAAAACAGTCCCCCCCCCGTTTTCCTGTGCCAGCGTAATAAATGTGCTGCAAAATAAGCCGTAAAATTGAGGGGGGGGAAAAAAAGAAACACGACAAAGGACAGGTTGCTATGCGGGTGCCATTACTGGGAGGTGGGTGGGCAGAAAGGAAGGGTCAGCTGGGGCTGAACTACGACTTTCGGCGCCTTTCTCTATTTGTCAAGCTTGGCTGGGTCTGCAAGAATTGCAGAATCGTCCTGTCTCGAACTCAGGGGTGTGTGCAAGCTCAGCAACTTTGTAAGACTTGTGGACTTCAACTGAAGTTGTGCACTTTGGAAAATAGCTTGACTCCCTCTTCTTTGGGGCAGCCGCTGAGATACTGGAACACTGCCATCCTGTCCCCCCTCGTCCTTCTCTTCGTTAGACTAGACATCCCCAATTTCAGCAACCGTTCCTTATATGTTTTAGCCTCCAGTCCCCTGATCATCTTTGTTGCTCTTCTCTGCACTCGAGTCTTATCATCTTTTTTTACATTTAGTGACCAAAATTGGCTGCAGTATTCCAGGTTTGGCCTCAATATGGTTTTATAAATCGGTACTAATACTTCGTGTAATTTTGATTCTATGACTCTGTTTATACAAGAAAGGAGTGTGTTAGCCTCCAGATTAGGGGAGACTCCCAATCTCCCTGCCTCGTCATCTGCGACTGGAGAAATCTGCAAGGCGACCCTCCAAGATACCGCAAAGATGCGTGTCCACCACAGGGCCTTCTCCGTGGTGGCCTCAAAAAAGCTAAACCTCTCCCTGGGCAAAGCTCCCACCTTCACAGCCTTCAGAGGACTTTTTTTTTGACCCACTGGCTGTCCTAAGAGCAAGGACGATTTGTCCCCTGGGTTTCTCCACATCAGAGGATACATTTGTATGTTTTTGTCACATTGATTCCTTAAAGCAGAGGCCCCCGACCTTTGGGGCACCAGGGACCGGGTCCATGGAGAGAGGTTTTTCCCATAGACCGGAGGATGCGTGGTTTTGTCTGCTGCCTGCATCCCACGGATGGGGCTTTGCTTGTTTGTGCAGACCAGTTGCTGGCATGCCGTGGCCCGGAGTTGGGCACCCCTGCTCTGGTAGACACGCACTCTGCTAAATTCCCTGAGGATCTATCTATCTATCTCCTATATCTATCTATATCTATCTATCTATCTATCTGTCTGTCTGTCTGTCTATCTATCTACCTATTTATCCATCTATCTATCATCTACCTTATCTATCTATCTATCTATCTATCTATCTATCTATCTATCTATCTATCTATCTATCTATCTATCTATCTATCTATCTATCTCCTATATCTGTCTATCTATCTATCTACCTATCTATCCATCTATCTATCATCTACCCTATCTATCTGTCTGTCTGTCCGTCCATCCATCCATCCATCCATCCATCTATCTATCTACCTATCCATTTATCTATCATCTACCTTATCTATCTGTCTGTCTGTCTGTCTATCTCTATCATCTATCTATATCTATCTATCTATCTATCTATCTATCTATCTATCTATCTATCTATCTATCTATCCATCTATCATCTACCTTATCTGTCTGTCTATCTATCTATCTATCTATCTATCTATCTATCTATCTATCTATCTATCTATCTATCTATCCATCTATCTATCATCTACCTTATCTATCTGTCTGTCTGTCCGTCCATCCATCCATCCATCCATCTATCTACCTATCCATTTATCTATCATCTACCTTATCTATCTGTCTGTCTGTCTGTCTGTCTGTCTATCTCTATCATCTATCTATCTATCTATCTATCTATCTATCTATCTATCTATCTATCCATCTATCTATCATCTACCTTATCTGTCTATCTATCTATCTATCTATCTATCTATCTATCTATCTATCTATCTATCTATCTATCTATCTATCTATCTATCTATCTATCTATCTCTTTCTCTATCATCTATCTCCTATATCTATCTATCTATCTCTATGTATCTATCTATTATCTATCTATCTATCTATCTATCTATCCATCTATCTATCACCTACCTTATCTATCTGTCTGTCTGTCTATATCTATCTATCTATCTATCTATCTATCTATCTATCTATCTATCTATCTATCTATCTATCTATCGTCTGTCTGTCTATCTATTGATTGCCAAGGTGCAATCAATCAGGCCGGTCTGTCTGAAAAACTTTCTGTATATACTCCCTTGACTCGGTTGACAAAGAGGGGAGGAGAGCCGGTGGCCTGGTGGTTAATACAACTGCCTAGCATGTGGACTGCCCTAGTTTGAATCCCATAAAGGGTGTGGCTAGCTGATGAGAGCTAATGAGCCCGAGATAGCTATACTAGTCTCCCACTTAATTCTTTAACTCTTTCTCAGCAAAAAAGAAATCTGAATCTAACTATATCTACCAGTAATCCTGGACATACAGTTCCTTTAGCAACCATTCAAAGTTAGAACGGCACTGAAAAAAGAGATTTATGACCATTTTTCACACCACCACTGCAGCCTTTCCCATGGTCACTTGATCAAAATTCAGACACCTGGCCACCGACTCACAGTTACGACGGTTTTCAGTGTTCCAGAGTCACACAATTCCTTTTTGCGACCTTCTGACAAAAACCAAGGGGGAAAGCAGATTCACTTCACAATCGCATTACTAACTTAGCAGTAGCAGTGATTTACTCAACAACCAGCAAGCAAGTTCTAACACTGGCAGGTTTTTAAGAAGAGACTGGACAGCCATTTGTCTGAAATGGTATAGGGTTTCCTATCTGAGCAGGGGGTTGAACTAGAAGGCCTCCAAGGTCACTTCCAACTTTTATTATTATTATTGTTATTGTTGTTGTTATTCAAATTTAATTCCTAGTCCTTTATTCTTTTCTCCAGCCATTGATAAAATAAGTTCCAAGTTTGAAAGTATTCTGTTTCTTCTTTCAACCTCATAGTAAGTCTGTCCATTTCCGCACATTCTAGTATTTTTTTAAAATTATTTCTTCCTCTGGTGGTGTTTCTTCATTTTTTCCAATGTTGTGCGAATGTGATTCTTGCCGCTGTTATCATATGTAAAATCAAGTATATACTTTGGTTATCAATCTTTTCTGGCGTTATACCTAGTTAAAAAAAAAGTTCACGTTTAAAATCTACCTGCTTTCCCAACATGTTTTCTAGCCAAGTATGTATTGTTCTCCAGTACCTCTTTGCTTTAACACATGTCCACCCTACGTCATAATAAGTACCTGACTTACGTTTACATTTCCAACATCTATTTGGCATATTTTTAAACATTTTTGCTGGTGGCAAGTGCCATCTCTAAAACATTTTATATAGGTTTCTCTTCAGATCGCATAAACCTTTCGCCTTTTATTAA